TCTACATGATTTTGGCTCAATTTAATGCCAAAAAATAAGGCATTTTTTCACTTTTTTCCAGTATTTTCATCTTTACTTCATTGGCAATCAACTATTCCCCCAAGTTTTGACATCAGCCAATATGCCATTCTTTTCTTCAAACAGTATAGTCATTCCACAGAAAAAAATATAAAAATCCAACCAAAATCAATGGATCTGTGATGATTTCATTACCATCAACAGGCCCAGAACCTCAATAGAATGTTAGGCTCCTCTCAACATTCCATAAGGCACACTGGATATTTAGCATGGTTGTTAATGTCCACATTATTAAACATCATGGCCTAGGCATCTTTTAAATACTACTACTACTACTACTACTACTACTACTAATAATAATAAATATAGCCGCAAGCGGCAATGATCGGCCCTCGCTTGAGCCTATGCCATGCCCAGGCCACGCCGCACCCTGGCCACGTTGAGCTCTGCACATGCCGTGCCCCACGAATGCACCTTACTCATTGATCTAACTTCTAAATTAACACTAACCCCTAAACCTACGTGCACTCCTAACTAGGGATGGGCATTCGATGAAATTTTCTTAATCGATCGTCGGAAGAATTAACGATCAATTATCGATTAATCATTAACGTTTTTATATTAAAATGATCATCATTATTATTACTATCTGCACTACTAATCCCCGACTAAATAGAAAGACTGAATTTATAACAGAGAGAATAAACTTACCTGAAATGTTTACTCTTAGTGTTATTGTTCTCTTACAGGTTACCCAAAGCAAGACTGATTCAAATGTTGCTACTTTATATCTTAAAACGTTACTACCTTAAGTCATTTAAATGTTGATGTTCTAAGTTAACCCCATACAGTAATGTTGTATATGCCGTATTTCAGTTAACTCAAATTAGAAAAGGGGAGATGTAATGATATACAGGTAACAAGAGGGTGCTGTCGCACTTTCAATGTTTCTCATTTTAACAACAAATTACAGATTGTTGTTCGCTCTCATTAAAGCAGTTGCTAACTCGCACACGTTGTAGCAAGTTGCATTTCATTACATCATCATTTCTGTCATTACGCAGAGCTCATGACCATAGGTGAGAGTAGGAACGAAGACTGACCAGTAAATCGAGAGCTCTCTTCACCACAACGGTCCGATACAGCGACCACATCACTGCAGATGCTGCACTGAACTGCCTGTCAATCTCACGTTCCATCCTTCCCTCCCTCATGAACAAGACCCCGAGATACTTGAACTCCTCCACTTGAGGCAGGGACTCTCCACCCACCCGGAGAGGGCAAGCCACCTTTTTCCGGGCGAGAACCATGGCCTCGGACTTGGAAGAGCTGATCCTCATCCCAGCCGCTTCACACTTGGCTGCAAACCGCCCCAGTGCACATTGCAGGTCCTGGTTCGATGAAGCCAACAGGACAACATCATCTGCAAACAGCAGAGATGAGATCCTGTGATCCCCAAACTGGACCCCCTCCGGCCCCTGACTGCGTCTAGAAATTATGTCCATAAATACAATGAACAGAACCGGTGACAAAGGGCAGCCCTGGCGAAGTCCAACATGCACCAGGAACAGGTCTGACTTACTGCCAGCAATGCGAACACAGCTCCTGCTCCGGTCATACAGGGAGTGGACAGCCCTTAGCAAAGGGATCCGGACCCCATTCTCCCAGAGCACCCCCCACAGGACACCACGAGGAACACAGTCAAATGCCTTCTCCAGATCCACAAAGCCCATGTGGACTGGTTGGGCAAACTCCCATGAACCCTCGAGCACCCGATGGAGAGTGTAGAGCTCGTCCAGTGTTCCACGGCCAGGACGAAAACCACACTGCTCTTCCTGGATCAGAGGTTCAACTATCGGCCGGATTCTCCTCTCCAGTACCCTGGCATAGACCTTACGGGGGAGGGGGAGAAGTGTGATTCCCCTGTAGTTGGAACACACCCTCCGGTCGAGCTTCTTATACAGAGGGACCACCACCCCGGTTTGCCATTCCAGAGGTACTGTCCCCGACCGCCACGTGATGTTGAAGAGGCGTGTCAGCCAAGACAGCCCCACAACATCCAGAGACTTAAGATACTCAGGACGGATCTCATCCACCCCCGGAGCCTTGCCACCAAGGAGCTTGCCAACCACCTCAGTGACTTCAGCCATGGTGATAGACAAATCCGCCTCCGAGTCCCCAGCCTCGGCTTCCTCCTCGGAAGATGTGACGGTGGGATTGAGGAGTTCCTCAAAGTATTCCTTCCACCGCCGGACAACGTCCCCAGTCGAGGTCAACAGCTCTCCCCCCGCACTGTAAACAGTGTTGGTGAAGAACTGCTTCCCCCTCCTGAGGTGCCGGACGGTTTGCCAGAATCTCTTTGAGGCCGTCCGATAGTCCTCCTCCATGGCCTCCCCGAACTCCTCACAGCTCCGAGTTTTTGCCTCCGCAACCGCATGAGCTGCAGCACGCTTGGCTCGCCGCTACCCGTCAGCTGCCTCAGGAGTCCCACGAGCCAACAAGGCCCGATAGGACTCCTTCTTCAGCTCCTTCATCCCTTACTTCCGGTGTCCACCACTGGGTTCGGGGATTACCGCAGCGACAGGCACCACAGACCTTACGCCCACAGCTACGAGCGGCCACTTCGACAACAGAGTCCGAGAATGAAGCCCACTCGGACTCCATGTCTCCAGCCTCCCCCAGAATCTGTGAGAAGTCCTCCCGGAGGTGCGAGTTGAAGGTCCCTCTGACAGAAGGCTCCGCCAGACGTTCCCAACAGACCCTCACTACACGCTTGGGCCTGCCAGGTTTGTTCGGCTTCCTCCTCCGCCAGCGAACCCAACTCACAACCAGGTGGTGATCAGTTGACAGCTCAGCCCCTCTCTTCACCCGAGTGTCCAACACAGAAGCCAGTTACGTCGCCCGGTAACGCCATTCCGGGCGACGTAACTGGCCTCTGTGTGGACGTCTTCATAAGGGGCTTCTGAACCGTTCTTCGTCTGACCCGTCCCCCCGGACCTGTTTGCCTTGGGTGACCCTACCAGGGGCATGAAGCCCCCGACAACATAGCTCCCGGTTCAAGGAGGGGACGTGCGCACACGTCACATTCTCGTCTCTCTGGTGTCCAGTACATTTGGTCCCACACAGGTGGATGTCTCGCAGATTATAGAATACATTTATTGTCATATAAATGTTTCTGATGTTACCGCTTTGCCCACAGATATGATACGTGCCTCTGTTCCACTGTCACAGCCCCGATCTGTCAGTGTATGCGCGTGCAGAGTCCGGCCGCGATTAAGTGAATAAAACGACATCGCTGCATTAGAACCACAGACAGGGTAAGAAAACCCAATTTAGGGCATTGCTGTAAACGGCCTCATGTGAATGAGCACCTTTTGTGCAGATCCAGATCAAACTGTAGAGCCGACCTGAGCCGATACAGGGAGCGAGCAAGGGGCCGTGCTCTGCTGTGGGAGGGCATCCGGACGGCTCCCCATGCAGCACACAAACATTATGAATGTTAAGCATTTAATATCCTAATGTATTTCCAACTAAAAGACGCTTTGAGCATGTTACATGTTGTGTTTCAGTGAACTCGTTTGATATTTATTTTTACGATTCTGGCAGTTCACTAAATGCACCACACCATGTCCTCAGTCTGCTCCACTCCACCTGATATTCAGGCACGGCACACCTCCTGTTTAGAACTCAACGCCTCACACTTGCTAAGATCGGGGGCAAGGCCCCTAATCTTTTTGCATGAATCACTGTAATGGCTGATGATTTGAGGATTTTATGTCCATGTTCAATCCAAAAGAGTAAAGTTGTGTGATAACTTTACAGTAATAATGGCTAGTACAAAAATGTAGTCTAATATATAGATTATTCTCAAATATATATTCCATAAACTTTGGTATTGAGTGTTTCAATCTGCACTTTGGAGACTGTAAGATTTATGCTGTTGCCTTACATTTCTGCTACTCTGTAATCAACATATGGGGACCAAGTCAATGCATGAAATTGTTAGTTTGTAGTTCTTTGTGAACAGATCGATTTTCATATTTATTTGTGAATTTAGTTCAGTTGGAGTTAATGGTCTTGTCATATCTAGTTTGGAATAATCATATCATGTCTGAAAATTCATAAACATTTATGAAGAGATTATGGAATACATGCATTTCCATAGAGGATTTTGTGATCTGTTCCCAGAAAGATTACAGCTATTGTCCCAGTGTGTGTTGCATTTGATTATTTATAAACCTGCTGAGGCCTCAGAAATCTAATGCCAGCTGCAGTGGAATTTTCATGTTGAAGGTTACTGAGCTGAAAAACGTGAATGTATATTGTTGAATATGTATTAAAAAGGTGATGTAAAAACAGGTGATAGAACAGTTCAGGGGAGCAAAATTTTAGATTTTCAATATTTCACATGTTGTGCTTGTGTTTGCAGCTGTTCTGGCTAAGTAAGACTTAAAAGACTAAAGGTTGAAAAATAATTTATACCCCAATTAACAATCACCCATGGCAGTTGTCCAGATGTCATTTTTCTCTGCATCACTGGAAACATCTGCAGCAAATCTTATATTCAAGTCAGCCTCAGGATTTCCTTAATTCCACTTCAAGATTTCTTTAGGTTTTTCATTTATTTGTTCATTTAGTAGCATTTGTAATAACCTTCTACACATGTGTGTGTTTACCTCTCTAAAAAGAAAAATATGCTATTCAATTTGTTTGTTTAGTTGGGCAGATTTGTGGAGCCATTTGTTAGTACTAATATAGATTTTGTTGTGTTGTCAGATTTATTTTTTGTCACCTCAGAAGCTCAAATTTAGCTGCATGTTTTAATGCTGAATATTTCACAATGTGAGTTTGTTCACCTATTCTTTACTATGTTTTTTTTTTTTTTTTTTTTTTTTTTGCAATTCTGTGTCAACCATAATTTAGAAGATCAAACCAAAATACCAATAAAAATCAACATTTAGGAAATTACCTTAGAGAGTTTTTTTTTAACTAAAGGCAGAAGTGAGAGTAGTTGAAAAAGCTGGTCAGCTGCTAAAGAGGAATGATTTGGTTGAGGAATTCAACCTTGTGCAGACATTCATCTGGACTGCCGCAGCGCTGAAGGTAAGCTTATTACTTTACTTATTAGAGTCCACCTATAATCACACAAAAGATCGTGTAGAAAGTTTTATACTATGAAAAAAAATACTAAATTATTTACATAGTTTCATCTACTTCTTTTTTATGTTTTAAACATGTTTTCAGAGGAGTCATACTGGTTTTGCACGAGCAGTAGTGTAGTTAGATCCAGTATTTTGGCAATTCTGCTCACCTCTGCTGCTCTGCATATGTTCTTCTACAGAGAACATATGCATGGACATGGAGAACATGGACGAGTACCTATACGACTTCTACAACTACACAAATTATTCTGACTATGTTATTGATGACGAGCCGGCCTTCAAGCACCAGTCGACCTGCTTCAGCGAAGTCCTGTGTGTCTTTGCTGATAGTAAACGTGATAATCTTTCTTCTGGGTTTCTTTGGGAATGGCCTGGTGATTTGGATTGCTGGCTTTAGGATGAGAAAGACAGTGAACACCACATGGTACCTCAGCCTGGCCATCTCTGATTTCATCTTCTGCACTTGCCTGCCCTTAAGCATTGCCAACATGGTCATGGATAACTGGATTTTTGGCCTATTTATGTGCAAAGTGACATCATTTATAATGTTTGTTAATATGTTTGGCAGTATCTTCTTACTAGTCATCATCAGTGCAGATCGCTGTGTGTCTGTGATGTTCCCTGTTTGGGCACAGAATCACCGCTCAGTGAAAAAGGCTTCTGTTGTTGTTGGGGTGGCTTGGGTTTTGGCTATATCTCTTAGTGTCCCTTCGGCTATATACCGCCAAGTAGACACTCATTTAGGTCGGACCATTTGCTTCAACACGTACCCCCCTCATGGTCACCAGATAGTGGCCATCACACGCTTTTTTGCTGGTTTTGTAGGGCCTTTGGTCATCATCATAGCCTGTTATTCTGTTATTATCTTCAGACTGAGACATAACAAGATGACCAAATCGCCCAAACCATTTAAAGTCATGACAGCATTAGTAGTTGCATTCTTCTCCTGTTGGTTGCCCTATCATGTCTTTGTCCTCTTGGAGCTGAACCATCATAACCTAAACCACAATGTGTTAGTGACTGGCCTCAAAGTAGGCACAGCAGTAGCAGCAGCCAACAGTTTTTTCAACCCAGTGCTGTATGTGTTCATGGGGAACGATTTCAGGCAAACGTTCAGGAGTTCACTGCTGAGAAAGATGGAGAATGCGATGGGCGAAGATGGTCGCACCACCAGCAGATACCTCTCTCGCTCTAGTTCCATGGACACCCGGGCCTCCACACACATCTAGGCAGAGCAGTGGTGGATGAAATACGCAGTTTTGTTTCTTATGTAAAAGTACAGCTACAGGGACAAAAGATTACTCAAGTAAAAGTAACACAAATTTTCTGTTTAAAAATGTACTTTAAGAGTGAAAGTAAAAGTATTCTGTATTTTAAGTAATTCAACAGATTTCTTAATTTTTCTGTATTGTGTATTTGTTTTGCTCAAAGTTGCTCAAAGTTGGGACTAACTCAATTTAATGTGCTAAAAAAAAGTCTCAGCTTTTTCAGCAGGTCTCAAACCATAAAGAAAAGCACTTTTTACTTTTCAGTCCAGATCTAAACCTTAGTGCAACAGAAAGTACAGTTGCTTTCAAATGTAGTGAAGTAAAAGTAAAAAGTATCTTCTGTAAAATGTACTCAAATAAGATACAAATAAGTTTTTCTTAAGAATTGTACTTTTACTTTTGTACTTCATTACAATCCACCACTGAGGCAGAGGGACACTGGACACACTGGAAAAATTTTTTTCTTCTTCATATGTATAACCAGAAAAAGATAAAATAATAATAATGATTCACAGCTATGTGTTAAGGATCTTTATAGTCCAAAGAAGAAATAATGATGATCAAAATAGTCAATTATTATTTTAATGCTATTTTAATATAATTTGATTAGGCGTTGATGTAGCAATGTGTGCAATTCATTTTTATCGTATTAATTTTTATTTCATTAAATTTTTATTTCATTTCATCACTCACTTCACTCTTTATTTTTTTTTTCACTTCACATATGCATTATTTAATCAATTAAAAAAGTAGTTATAATTTTTGTGCAATATTATTTTATTTTTCTTTCCTTCTGTGATGTACCTTTGTAGCAGCATATGTTGTAATTTAGGTGTAATAAAACTGACCCCTAAAGCAGGTTTAAAGGTCCAAGTTTTTGGTTGATTGTGTCATCTTGAAATGAAAGAGGAAACAAAACAGGAACAAATGTCTGGTGCTTCTGTTGTTTTGAAATACAGTGTTACGTCAGTACATGGCCAAGACTACAAAAGGTTTATAAAGGCCAAAGGGGTTTAACATTGTAATTTCTCCAAGCAACAGAAATATCACAATATATATTTCATCTTTTATTAGGCTTTCACAGTACATTCTTCATTCCATATAAAATACATTCAGTGGCACTTGGTGTTAAAACATGCCAGTGTGTAGTTTTAGTATTTAGCTAATAGCCAAAAGTCTTAAAGCATGTCTGAAAAATATACTCTGTCAGCATTTTGCAATATAAAGAATTGTCAATTCTATAAAAATAGAATTATATTAAGTATAGCTTTATACTGAAAATGGAAGTCAGCGTTTCATAATATTCACAAATTTAAGCAATTTGATGAATTATGGCAAAAACATAAAATATTTCATTAAGTTTGTTATCATAAACTAAACCCATTACATGAAACAGCCATTGTACTTGCTCCCATTTTTAGGGCTCCTACTTTAGTTCAGTTTGAGAAAACTTAGAGACAAAGGCTGTTGAGTCAGTGATTTTGAGAAGAATAGTACATCTTGGATTTGAAAGTTTTTATAAATAAATAAAAACACAGGTGTCGCAGCCCATATTGCCCATATTTGGTAAAAACCTCATAAGGCTTTTATAACATAGCAGCTAAAAGGTTGGTTGAAATTCTTCATGTCAGATGTGAGCATTTGCCAGGTGACATACAGGCTCATGCCACTTACTACAAAATTGTGTAAAAGTTGCATTATTTTACATATATTTATATACATTTGACTTTGGGTGTGAAAATATGCCGAGCCTTTATTTTAAATGTGTATGTGCCATTCTATTGTAATGAGATACAGAATGGTTTGGTATTGTTTGCAGACATGTTAACTGTACTGATGCGTCTGTATTCACAGCTGTAGCGTACCTTGTTCAAGTTAAGGCACATGGCCACATTGCACATGTGCATAGAAGTGCTTTTCATCATGAAAAACTGGAAAGAAACTCCTACAAAAATCTGAATAAATAGAGATTAGGAATATGACAAAATAAGGCAAGACACTACACATAAAAGGTGGCCTCACTTTTCCCTTTTCAGCATTTTGGGACCCTTATCCTGTTTGTTACTAAATAAAATAAAATAAAAATATATAAAACCAGTCTATTTGTTCCATCAATATTTGGCAACAATTTGTTCTTTTACTAGACTTTTTCAGATATACAATTTAACAGCATATGTAAAAATACAAAATAGAATAATTTCTGATGTATCTATTACCTATTTTATTTAAAATATTTTTTAACTTATTTTATTTTTTATTTTTTTGTACTATTTCCCAAACTTAAATACAGCCAATTTACGGATAGTGTCTTGCCATAAAACATACTGTCTACAACACACATCTATAATTTAAAGCATCAAACACAGTTACTACATGTATCATCTGGGCCTGTACTCCTCTGGAACCCCTGACATGTGCTTTTTCTTCAGCGCTGCATCAACAGTTCTTATAAGTTCATCGATGTGTGCTCTCATCTCCGCTGTGTAGGGGTCATACTCCAGTTTGCGAAGTCCAGAGCGCTTAAAGTTTCCATCCTTCTGTCCCTCAACACAGAGAAGGCGCTCCTCAGACACTTCCAAGCCCAAAAATTGTACCATGCCTTTGAGCTGAGCAAACAGGTCCCTCTTCAGCTCCTCAAAATGAACCACATGTACACGCCGTCCGTACTGCAGCCAGTCCAATGTGTGCGATGCCCACCAAGGGGCGTAGTTTTTTACAAACTCAGGCCACTCTGAAATGAAAAAAACAACAACACAGGATTATTGTCTGATATTTCACAATTGGCTTTAAATAGTGGAAAATAAAAATAACATAAATATTTGTCATCGTTATCTTTGTTTGTCTACTGTAGTCATACATGTTCTAGGGGAGACTGATGACAGCTTGGCTTTGACCACTGCTCCTCCAACTACAGACACACAATCATACTGACATACTCATACAAAAGCAAAGTGGGAGAGGTGTCTTTGCAGGGACATAAATACAGGATGACAAAGTTTGAACTTGTGACCACCTTGCTGATGGACGATCTCTTACCCATGTTGTTAATTTTCCTGAAAATGAAACAGATCTGAACTATCATTCATAGTGCGTTAGTATGGCTAGCCACACATGAACACGCTGTTATGCCTGCCTTGTTTGTTCAGTTCTTGTCAGGTACTTTAATGACATGCTAAATTTTATTTTGGCCTTTTGTGTGCACCATTGATTGAGTCAGAGAAAGCAGCAGCTTCCCTAACACCCACCTGCACTATTCACAGAGAGGCTCTTTAAAGTTTAAAGAACAATGCTAAATTCGCACAACTCAGGTATTGTGTAACAAGAAGCAGACACCAGAGAAAAGGGAAAGAAAAAACATTAATCAAACCAACCCAGAATTGACAATGTAAAAATAAACATTATAGCATGTGCACTGTTTGTAGGTTAATAGGCAGATAATATTGTACTGACGTTACAAATATTTACAATAGTACTATTAATGTTTGTACACAATTTGCTGATTTTAAGTAAAACAATATGATATTAAACAGAAAAAACTTGTCTTTATGCTATGATAAAGAGTGTGCTCACGGTATAATGATGACTGTGGTTCCCTGAATGCTGACTCAAACTAAAGCCTGCGTCAGTCACACAGGCATCAGTTGTCAAAGCAAGTCCAAAACATCAATGTTCACTGGGAAAGTCAGGGCAAAATGTGCTAATGTTTTCACAAAGAGAGCAACTGCTGACTTGGCAACTCTGCAGCCCAGCACAATCGATTATGACACCTCACAAAACACCAAATCGCAACCAAAAGACACCTGATCAAAGTGAATAAATAAAATAATTCATTACTATAGGCCAAATTCATTTGGATGGTTTTGAATGATTATGAAGAGCTACTTTAAGACACAGATATTTGAGATTGACAACAAAATAATGAACATAGGGCAAACCAAAGTTGTGAGTTTAAAATAGAGCTACATTAAAGGAATAAAAAAGGAAAGGAAATATTAGCTACTAGAACAATTTGAGAAAAACATAAATTTTTCTGACAATTTAATTTGTTTATGTTTTAATAATATGATTATAATATCTAATTTGATTTTGTTGAAGGTTCGCATTTAAAAAGTGCCCAGAAGAAAAGACTTACATTTAACATTTCAGAACATGTCAGTACAGATCTAAATGACAGGTTTAGTACTTTTTTTAAGCAGAATAAGACAGAATATTTTATTGTTTGTGGAGGAAATTGAAGTATTTCAAAAATTGCATGCTTTGTCATTTGCTAATTGCATCCATTCAAATTGACATTTCAAATTGATTATGATTATCTTAATTAACATGTGAATATTTTGCTAACGTGGGGTCCAGCCTTGATGGAAATCCTTCTAAAAAGTTAGAGGAAAATATAATTGACAATGTGAACAGTATTTTTCTGGACAAGGTGGGAAAAGATGAAATAATAAAAATTGTTAAAAAGTGTGGAAACAAAAGATCAACTGACTGTGAGGGTTTGGACATGATGATTGTGAAAAATATAACTGATTCTGTTACTGAGCCCTTAACAATGGGAGTTTTCCCAGATAAAATGAAATTAGCAAAAATAGTTCCTCTTTATAAAAATGGTGATAAACACAACTTTTATATAGGCCAGTCTCACTGTTTCCACAGTTTTCAAAAATACTGGAGAAGGTGTTTTCAATAAGACTGGATAGTTTTTTGCAAAAACAAAACACACTGAATGATGACCAGTATGGATTTAGGGCAGAGCATTCAACAGCAATGGCAATAATGGAACTAATCGAAAAGATAGCAAATGAAATTGACAAGGGTAATAATTTTTTAAGTATATTCATTGACTTACAAAAAGCTTTTGATGTGATAAATCACTCAAGATTATTTAAGAAAATTAACAAGTATGGCATTCAAGGAGTGGCTCATCAGCGAATAGCAAGCTATTTAGAAAACAGAAAACAATATGTACAACTCAACGACCAAATTATTGATATTATACATGAATAATTTTGTTAAAGTTTCTGGGCTTGGGAAAATTCTATTTGTTGATGATACAACAATTATTTTACTCGGGAAAAGACATAAAAGAGGTCACAAGTAAAGTTAACAAAGAGCTAAAAAAAGTAAAATACTGGTTTGATTTAAATGGATTGATTCTCAATGTTAAAAAAACAAATTTAATTTTATTTAATGATAATAAGAAAAAAGACAACATAACATTAGAAATAGATGGGATACAGATTTAAAGAGTAAACAAAACCACATTTTTAGGAGTTATGATTGATGAGGATCTAAACTGGAGGTCTCCTATAAATTACAAGGCAAAATTTCCAGAGCCATTGCTGTTCTGCATAAAGTAAAGTTCTCTCTATATAGTGCAGCATTATTAACTTTGTATAACTCTATAATTGCACCATATCTGATTTACTGTGTAGAAATTTGGGGGTCAACATGTAAAATTTACCTACAACCTTTATTTATTTTACAAAAAAGGGCTCTCTACAACAGTCATTGTAGAGAGCCATCCAACCCATGATTTGTTCAAGTTAAAGTGTTGAAAATACATGGCATTGTTGACTTAAGTATCTTCAAAGTCATGTATATAGCAAAGTGTAGAGTGTTACCTGTAAATATTCAAAGACTGTTTGAGAATAGAACAAGCCACTGCAATTTAAAAGGAACCTACATGTTTAAAAAACCCAGATTCAGAACCAAGGTTATGGAATGAAGCATCGCTGTGAAAGGAGTTAATTTATGGAATAGTCTTGACAAAGATATAAAAGAATCAAGTACAATGATGACATTTAAAAAAATACATAAAATCAAATGGAATGTGTATGTATGAAAACTAAGTTGTTGTGCATAAAAGTGAAGGTTTCTGTTTACAACTGATTAATAATTGTGCCTGAACTGAAATGTACTGATTTGAAATTTTTAGTAACCATCGGTGTTGATGTTGAAAAGGGAAAAGGGAGCAGATAACATAAGATTAGTCTTCTTTCTGCTCCTTTTCATTCATTTCTTGTATGTTTGATGTTGTGACACTGTTGATGTCTTTTTACATTTTATGAATGAAATAAATAAACAAATAATAATAATAATAATAATAATAATATTAGAAGCTTGTTGAACTATATAAGGAAAGTTTAATATAGTTTAAGCCTTTGATTTAAAATCTCCAAAAAGATCTACTTAAGTTTCTGTTAAATAAATGCTTACAAAATGCCAGATGACTCACTCATCCATTTATAACTGTGTTTCTATTTATTTCATAAAACCGGAAAATCTGAGGAACAAATTTTAGTTATGTGGATCAACATGACTCATGATCAGACCAACCATAATGACGCAGTGTGTGGTTGGGTCTCAGTTTCATTTCTCATGAATTTTCATTCAAAAAAGTATTTGAGCCACAACAACAGAAGTGTTTATTAACCACAAAACTGCCATATCAACTGCTGACCATTCAGAGGTTTTCTATGTCAAAAGAATTCAACTGATCAGTAAATTCAAACTCCTCAAATGGTATCAATTTTTTGGTCTTCCTTTTAGATTACTCATATTTCAACTGTTCCCGTCTCTCTTATCTCTGATCATCTCTCTCATCAATCACCTTTATGGTCTGGAGTTTCTGTGCACAAACATCTATTGTATTACAGCAAGTACATTTACATGGGCAGTAAAAATCAGAATAATCTGATAAGATCTGATTACTCACATGAAATGGCATGACATTTAAATAACTTGAAAACGCAAATCAGATAATGGTCAGGGTTTAAAGTGTACAAAGTGTCTGTGTAGCATTGAATGACGGTGCTTTGACTCTCACCTTTCCCTTTCCAGTGGGCCTGAGAGGCAAACCCAATATGGCCTCCATACTTGCGGTTGAATTCTGCCATGAGGGCCTTGTAGGGGTTACGGATCATGAGGATGCCTGCGTCAAATGCTTCGATCTCCTTCCTGCCGCTCTCATGAGTCTTGATGCAAATTGTCCGTCCACTTCTCCAATGGTCGCGTTCACCTTTGAACCCTGCAAACAGCCCACAATTAGCCAGCTATTCCACTGTACACTAACCACTGACTGGATGTCATTTTAAGTTAATATTCTTAATTCAAAGCCCACCAGGTTGTTTTCAATGGCAACAACTAGCTGTTTGAAAGTAAAATATTCTTATTAATTGAAGACCAAAATATTGTCTTTAAAATCAAGTTATGTCTAAACCGTATACAACCAGCATATTATTGTCTCTATAACTGTGGTTATAAAAAAGCAAGCAATTGCAAATATTGTTCGGTGTGACAATTCAGTGTTCAGTGTGTCAAGACTTTCAAAAACTGAGCAGTCAAGGTAAAATGCACCTTTGTTATAGAGTGATCCATCAAAATAGTAGCTGCCAGTGTAGAAACCGGTAGCAAGCTCGATCAGGTGACGTGCCCAAGTGTTGCCTGCTCCGGGGAAACTGCTCAAAGCAAACAGTTGCTTGGAGCGGGTAGGCAGAAAGTGGCGGTCCATGCAGCGGTTATCTGAAAATACATCCATTTTGTTTTTGTTCATCCATTTTGTTGATCTGCGTATTTCTATTAGTAGCCACAGAAATCTATATTAATAGTTTGCAAAGTACAGACATAAACAACAACAAACAACATCAAAAACTGATACATGTGCATGAACTGATCCTGTATAGATTTTCTCATCTTAAATTTTATTAATAACTTCCAGTATATTTAGCTGCTTGCATATGCAGTCACAAACAGGAAGTGACTAGATGTGTTGTTTGCACTAATATCACAGCTCAGTAAAGCTCAGTTAACACCTAAAAGCATTCTAAGTGCCTCCTGTCTATGTGGCTACAGGAGCTCAAATTATTTATTCAAAATATGTAATCAAGTAACTGATGTGTTTTTGGCCAAAATTCTAAATCACAAGGAAAAAGTCCAATAGTTGGAAAAGGCTCAATGGTTATATAAAAAGTTAATCTTTAAACTGTTAATTACTTTAACATCTAGTTCAAATGTTTGTATTTTTGTGTTTTTACTTTACCTTGCACCTGTGTCTGATACACCACAAAGTACTCGTCATTCCCACAGCTCTCAAACTCCTCGCCTTGGCAACGGTAAAGACACAGGTCCTCCTCCTCCAGGTCATGAAGGGGGAAGAGAGGAGTGGGGAACCCACAGTGACAGCGATCTCCAGCCAGCACAGCCAGCGTCTTCTCCTAAAAACAGTATTTGATTTATGTGGTGATGATAAAAATAAAATGGATAGTATTTTGATTTCTTATGTGATTAAAGGTGCACAATGTAACTTTTCTGGTGCATGGTCAGCCACCTGCTTGTCTTCATGGATATTTTTTTCAAGATTAAGATTACATTTATTGTCATTTTTATGCACAAAATAAAAACTAAATCATGTTTTGCAGAACCCCTTCAGTGTAAAAGTCAATAGCAACATGTCAATATATATTGATAAATAGTCATATAAATAGTACATTACAAAATATAAATATAATAATTGTCTTCATAGAGATGTCAGTGCTGTGTCTTGATTCCATAGTATGGCATTAACTTATCTACACCAGGCAAGGTTACATGTCAGATCTATGGAGGGGTGACCTGGCTCACAGTAAGATTTTTTCACAGTATTTTTTTTTTTTACAATAAAAATACCTTTAATAAAATACATGCAAGATTGATAAGTTTAATGCTATACTGTGGAACATTCCAGTAAAAGCAATAACATATTCATGAATCAAAAAGCAGATATTCAAGAATATTAAGTGATGCAAAATAATCTAATTATTCCAAAACCAGTGACTGATGTATGATATATTTGACTATCCTGAGTATAGTTACTGTAGTACTGAAGTATTTAAAGGCTTACCCTCTCTGTGCACATGTCTACACACTTGTCTACAGACATGTTTTGGATCACGGCGCTGAAAGGAAGGGCCATGGTGACGTTGTCTGGTTTGTGGAAACAGCCCTTGAAAATGGCACTACCGTCTGAAAAAACAGACACAGGACACAGAAACTACTCAGAAAGGAAAACATCATTCAGTCTGTTTATGTGGTTACTGAGCTTGGCGGATTTGGTCTGTTTCCATTGACCCTGTGTAAAGGGGTCCCACTGGGAGGGTCTTGGCTATTCTATAGACCTGATCTTCTACTGGATTCTGCCTATAGCAATGCTCTGTTATGATGAACTTTGACCCTTTGTTCTTGCTTCCTCTCAAATGAATGGAGCATAAATCTAAACAGTAACAAAACAGTACATAGCACTGGACAAGAGGCTAGGGTTACATGTTTCATTATAGTCAGTTATAAAATCTGTTAAACAAGAGATGAAAATGCATATTTAAATTAGATTTGACACTTTTTTCATTTAATTGTATGTATTAGTTGTACTTTTTTTTTTTTTTTTTTTACAAACATTTGGAACATTCCATTAAGGAAATTATGTTGTGAAACAGTTATTGGTGAGCCCATACTTTTTAATGCTGAATCAAAAATCACTTAATGCTTTTGAGGGAGTCAGCTTTAACTGAATAATAAATGCAAATGGCCTATATGGAGCTCCTTCCTGTGTTTTCAGCAATCCTTTAATGCCTGAGTGAAAAGTGTGTGCATTGCAGCTAGCTTATGTTTTATTTATCTGTGACCTTGTCCCTAGATTAAACCTGCATCTTTGATATTTCCCTGCTCCCATGGGCCTCCTTTACACTATTCAATTCACTCATGAAGGAAGATCACTGAAAAGGGAAATCACTGAACCAAAGAATAAACAGTGAAACCACATTTGCCTTCTCAACACAAAAAGTTCCCTCTTTGGTTTCAGGTCTTCATGTGCTAAATAAAAGTGTCAGGGGTTAAGTCAACTGTTAATGGAAAAAAAACTAAACAAAACAGAACAAGTAATTCAGCAGAAATTACTTCCAACTAAAAAGTAAATTTACTGACATTTACTTTGATCCCCGTATGGGGATCAAAAGGCAAGTCAGCATAAGATCATTTCGATGATTTAAAACAGACATGTCAAACTCAGGCCCGGGGACCAAATTTGACCCGCGATACAATTATATGTGGCCCGTGAGATCATATCAAATATGTATTAGAGCTGGACGCCGGCTACAGATAGGCTACAGAGACATTATTTATTTAAAATGTTATTATTTTATATTATACTCTCTGCATTCAGTGTTTAAGCAAAACTATTATTAAACATTTATTTTAATAAGAAAACTGTTAACATGATAAATCTCAAAAGAAGAGAAAACATGCAGATCTTGTTGAAATTTTTCAATAAATATTTAGTTTGGCCCACAACTTAGTCCCAGTTTTTAATTTTGGCCCTCTGTGAATTTGAGTTTGACACCCCTGATTTAAAATATACGGTTTTAAAAGATATGGGGTAATTTGAGTTGAGGTTAGGATTAGGTTAATGTTACTCAAATAATTATGGCTAAAGTTGTGATCAGTTTTCAGAAAATTAATATATATCAATGTCTGGAGCCCCAATATGTGTGTGTGCATAGTGTCTAACCTTCAGTTATTGCAATAACTATACTTCTTATCAAAGTGATGATGAAGTACAGTACATTTTTGACATTTGAGCATGAATTATGTGTTTAAAGGTAATTATAATGTACATGTGATGTTTTATTATGCAATCACATATTTTGATACAGCTCTGCTCTTAGCCTGCTGTGTGTCTGGGCCTGTGGGCGAGTGGGACTCACATCGCCGTGCCGACTCCTGGCTCAGCTCTAGTCGGTAGATGGACAGGCGATTGGCCCCTCCACAAAGGTTGTTCTTCTCGCCCTTACACTGCATGTTGCACTCAGACTCAGAGGCATTGGCTGCTTGTATCTTGTGCCCACAGTAACACTCTGCACCAAACTCCAGGCCTGCAAACATGTAACCTCTGCAAAAAAGAGAATGACACAGTTTTGTCAAAAAGGACCTCAATTCAAAGAACAAGAATCATTATTCTGGGAATAAATGCAAACTAACTATAAACTTATTTGTCATAACATTACAGATATGAAAGACAGATGTAAACAGGAGGGATATATTGGGCAGATATCTTTTCTTAACTTATTGCTGCCTCAACTGCCAACAATTATAGTAATTCATGTATAAAATATGTTCCTCACTTCTTTGACACACTCTTCAAAAATGTATTTAACTCTTATTATGGTTAGCTTAATTGTTCAGTGAAATCAACTAAAACTGGAATCTAACTGGTGAAGCTCCTGTGCTGTAATTTGTGTAAAACTATGTTAACTAAAATTACAATTGCAGTTATGTCCTGATTCAAAATATCATATCACCTGCCCCAGTGGTAACTTTCGGAACTCCATTACAAGCTAAAACTACACTTACACAGAGCAAATCCCTTGGGCTGTCAATCAAACACAACGCTCTGTTGGGTGCAAGGTGTCACTGCTTCCTATTTGTTTGTCAGCTTTTATTAACCTGCCGCTAATGGTGGGGTATAGGTGACAGGAGAGAGGAAACACACTATAGGAGCTGCAAATGAGAAACCTGCAAGATCTCAGCTCCTGCTTTGGCCTGACAAATCACTGATGTGTGTAATTTAAAAGGGGTATACAGCGTTATTCCACTGGGATGAGTAAAGGTGAGGAGAGAGCAGGAGGCACAGATGAGAGACGTGAACAAAATGACTAAAAAGGCCATAAGCACAGGGAATGCTTATGGATGACATGATGTTCATTTGTGTTTGGCAACAGTTATATACCAGAAAATTTATATGAAAACATGGATGATATTAAATTCTTTCTGTTCTCACCAAAAAATCCCTCTCCCTATGTGCAGATTTTTTAATGATATCATTGATTTGATTAGCAACCATCTTCATTCAACCAGTGATCATTTGTGGCTCAGCAGTTATTTATTAAGTGAGTTGTTGCTATCAGCATCCAAAGGCAAATATAAATGGACAAGTAAAAAAATTGACTATAAATAGATATACTATGCAATCTTTTCCTCGCACAATTATTCTAAATATAATTCTAAGTACTTAAAATGCACACTTTCAAATTTAATTTAACATTAAATGGAACATATTTGATTTATTTAAAGTCATCTTAAATTTTTTTAGATGAAGGAATGTAATAAGGTACTTTGTGTAAATTGCTTGACTAGGTTCTTTTTACACACATCAAATTCAATTGAAGAAATATTTTTCCAGTATCCAGGCTGGGGACAAACCATGGAGTACATCGGTGGCTGCACTGAATGACTTCACATGATTTTTGCACCTAAAGAAAATAAATTACCATCAGTGAGAGCTGAGAGTGGGTGTGACTCTTCTTCACACTCGAACCTTCTGAAAACTACAGATTTACATCCTTAAATGTCAATAAGGTTATCAGAAACACCATTTTTTCTTCCTGTATGTGACACAGATATGCACAGAGATAAAGGCCAAACAATGCCTCAGGTACAAGTATACTGGCTCCTTTTCTTATCTTGTGCCAACAATAAAGGATATAACAGCTGCAATGACATTGACTTGTGAATGTAATTGTAATTGTTATCTCAACCTCAAAGGCCTCTTGAGTTCACATGTTTAATTTTAATTACTAACAGATGTATGACCTATATAATTTGGACTTCAAAACCATCTTAAAGGGTTAAAGAGATGACAGAGGAGAGGAGACATGGAGAAAAGAATATTTTCAATTTTACCTTTCTGCACAGTTGTCCTGGCAACGGAACACAGTCATTTTTTTGTAGTCGAAAAAGGAAACTCCTCGCAGCGCTCGCCTCTGAGTGTCGTCCACATAACAGCCAATGTACTTTGCTGAAAACAAAAAGATTGATATATGTCAATACCGTGTGCTGTCAAAACAACATTGGGAATAGAAATGGATTTGTATTCATAAGAAGGAGGAAAAACACAGCCATACATTCATATGGTCTATACGATGTAAGTCAAATGTTGCAAATAAAAATTAGATACTAATATGTTTTTCTGCAACATGTACAATTCTGTGCCAAAATCTACTTCAGCGTCAATGTTTTTTGTTTTTTTTCACAAATCCCATGTATATGTCAATCATAAAGAATCTCAAATCAATCATTTCTTAATGAGTGAACCCTTGTGCCCAACAAAGAGCAAATTCTAATCCAAGATCTAATATTTTCAAGTTAAAACTGAAATCTGGATCCACATTATTATACATATTTTATCTTCATTTCATTAATGTGATATTCTAAAATGTTCATAGCATAGTTACACACACCAGACAGCTGTATTTTTGTTAAAGATATCACTCCCAGAGTGAAAAATATCTATTACAAAATGTACAATAGAAGTTGGTTCCTGTATGTATAATATAAAGTTAATGTATTGCAGCAAGCCCAGGTCCAAACTGGGGCACGCTGCTTTTATTTTTTTATGAGGGCACACATCCCCTTCTAGTGGTGTATCTCTGTAGTAGCAGGCATCTTTCTGCATTTTTCAGAAGAGGGAGGGGCATTGGACAAGTGACTATTATACATACATATACACTCAGTAGCAGCTCTCCAATCTCTCATTAAAAACACTGTCTATCTTTCAGCCTTTGCCAAACAAACCTCTGGCCATCTGCGCACAGCCATTATCCCCAGGAGCTTCTGTTAATAGCTTCATGTGCACTGAGTTCCACTGCCCCGCACCACTTTAATTGTCATTGTCTAAAGGCAGCATTTGGAGCCACGCTAATCCTCCTAACTACTGCTGCACTGGAAAATAATCTGCTTTATGATGCAGAGAAATGCAGATTTTTTTTATATTTGAAGTGTATAAGAAAGCTACATAATATAAGCGGAAACATTGCTTAAACCACGTCTAAACCAGAATTAATAAATAAGCAGTATTCAGAATGGGACAGGTGATTAAGTAACTTTTCTGGTGGATGAGTTATCTGCCCCCTTGTCTCCATGGAGATTTTACTGCTTTGCCTGAAATATTCCAGAGTGTGGCTTTAAACTCCCCATTCTTGTTTTTGTTCAGTCCTATGGATTTATTACTAAAAATGCAAAACCTTGCATTCTTAACATTAGTTGGCTTGCCTCTTCACAGGTTTGATCTGTGAATGGGCCTGGTAGCATCGGCTTCATTAACTCCATGGATTTAATGCTGTGGAACATTCATGGGCAAAGGAATGTAGCATTCCATAGTTACATAGTGCACCTTTAATATATTTATTATGTTACTAGATTTGTATTTTGAAATTTTTCTCACATCAGAAAGATAATGCCATTGTTAAAAGTAATGCTAACAGACCCATTACAGAAATATGTGAAGCCGCAATGTGTGCAGCCCTGATTCTGAGCATCTCATGTTGCTTTCTTCCCACAGTTTAACTCTTATCTTTTCTGGACTGTTGCCATCTAATGAGATTTAAGACTGCTTGTGAAAAAATGGAAACCAGAAGGGGGATAGCATCTCTTACAGCTCAATCATAAGCTGGTCTGCAGTGTGCTGAGAGCAAATGAGCACTTTGAAGCTATTAATTACTCTATGGCCATGTCCCACTGCAGTTTGGGGAGGTAAGAGAGTTAGAAGAGAGTGATGAGGGGAGATGTACCCAGAGACCTTGGCTCCATCAGATAATCCTGAGTTTCATTCTGCTGTGTGCACGACTGTTTCCCTGACCGTGAACTGGGATAATGGCCCAGGGTTTTAAAAATCAATGCAGAGAACCACTGTATTTGGTTACTCTAATCACTGAACTTCTTAAATAGGATTTGACCTTTATTTTGAGGTGTTTAAGCATAGTCATAATATAATAGATATAATTAAATCTGTACTAAGCATTCCAAGGGTTGCCTCTCCACAGAGCTGAGTTGACTTGGTCTGGTTTGGACTCCATAAAAATAGAACGGTTTAATGCCATACTGTGAAACATTCCAGACAAAGCAGTAACATTGCCATGAAGAAAAGCTTTTGACTAATCCTCCACCAGAAAGGTTACACAATGCATCTTTAATATTCATGAACATGACCACAAGATTATTCTTGTTTGCAGAAACTGTAAAGTCATCAAAACAAGTGTGCTAGTGCCTGTCAAGAATCTTTCATACAGGTTGTATCAAAAATGTAAGCATATTATTTGAGAAGTCATAGCATACCTCTTCAAACTGATCTCTGAATGTTATTTTCCACTCTACACAGTCTAAACAGTCCTATTCAGTGATAACATGCTTCAATCTATATCCCAAATGTTATGTTTTTTTACTCAATTTAACTGTGTAAAAACATCTAAACAATCTGTCTGTCTCCATGTTTTAATTGTGTAGTATTGTGGAAATCTCATCTTATTTTCATGTGTAAACCAAGATTTTCCTGGGATCAGTCTCCTAATCCAGTGGGCCAGAGAGTAATCTAGAAAAGTTGTTCTTAATCTCAATTATTTATACTTGATCAGTGTAGACCGGGGACATGGAAGCGCTCCGGAGCCCACACGAGTAAATGATACCACAGCCTCACTCAGGTTTCCCGCAGAGGGGCATAAGTCAGCACATTCGTTGCTGTATCTGATCTCCTTGTCAATGTTTTGAAAATGTTGTCACTCACATGTCATGAGAAGTTTACATGTAAACATTTGCGAAGGGATTACACCCGGCGCTCTAAATCCTGTTATAGTCAAGCTGTGATGTGGGTGAACATGTGGCACGAAGAACATGAAGCAAATACAAGGACTTAAATCACACTCAGTCAACTCATTTACACTTAAGAGATTTTAAATGTCACAAATTATGCCTGCTAATCCCATCCACAAAATAATCTAGTGCATTTATAAATACACGTAATGAAGTGTTTGTGAGTTTGATAGCAATTATACTAATAGTTCCATATTATAATCTGCTGGATATACCAGTGAAAGCTTATTTATGATTGAATGTGCATTTAATAGTAACAAGAAATCAAGCCTTGAAACACAGAAGCATAATGTGGGGCATGCATTTATGAATGAATATACTAGTAATATATTTGCGGACAGTAGTATTTACAAAATATAAAGGAAAATGTAATTACTCAAAAGTTAGTAGATTTAAGATATTTAAAATCTTTCACAAGTAAGTGGTAAGTATACAGTGGAGGAGCTATGCCAAGTTGTGAATAGATTATCTATATCTTCATTTTGTATCTCGTTCATAAAACTGAATTAAACTTTTCCTATGACTATAATAAGAAGGCAATACCTTACTGTATCAAGAAAATTAATCCATTGCACAAAAATTATAGCACTTCGTCAAACTAACCTCTTCCATCCTCCATGTCTTTGGCGTTGCGCCCTTTAAGGGCCCTGTTCCAGTTACTGGTGTAGTCCTTGCCTTCTGCCTCGGCTTGTCCGTTCTTCTTCCATGGAGGGCCAAAGCGGCGGCCCCCTACCTTTCTGTTTTCTTTATTAAACACCCTGCTCATCAGCCCCAGCCCGCGGACATGCAAAACTGTGGTCCTGCCTGCCATCTCCGCAGCAACCACAGAGTCCCCCCGGGCTTCTCCTCTGCTGGAGCTGGGACTGTCCCACATAATGCCTGAGTGGAGGAAGACCAGGCTTCCCGCTGTCAGATACAGCAGGATGAGTGAGAAGAAGCGCACCGGTTTTCGACAAAAGTAACGGTGTATTTTGAGAAGAGGTTTGACCATTGTCCTGCAGCCACTGGACCACACTATCCCAATGGTGAACACAATCAAGATCTGCAAGAGGGGGAGAGCGAGGGTCATCCAAGCATGGCTCTGCCCCGTTCTCATGAGGGAGACCCATTACATGACTGGACCTCCTGCGTTCTTATCCATTGTAGATAGTGTCCCAATGTAGCCCTGAGAAGTACCTATGGGTCCCCGGCATGTAAGTGGAGCACCTTTGGGTGAAACAAGATCACTGCAGCTTTCACTTCGGCCTTCAGAACACAGCAGTGATACGGCAGCACTTTTACCGCTCAGCCTCAAGTGCGTGCCTGTCTCCACACAGTGCACTCAGGTTGTTGTACCTCTCCCACAGCATGGCCCGGGACATACGGGGGCGGGGTTCACCATCTGTGGAGAAGAGAGAAAATACTGAGCGAGTGCACACCTGAGTAAGCTGGGGTTCAGGGGTAACAAAGGAGCTTGCCAGCAGGAGGCATAGACAGAGTGGGATTGGTAAAAATATACATTGCACAATACCACTGCTATACAGTATAATGATTTAAAGTATGAATGTATGTTAATGAAGATTACTTTAAATAGTAGAAAAATACCTTCTGGTGATGAGTAATAAAAAATAATATTCATTTTAGCCTATTATAGTATCTAGATCTCTTTAGTAATGTGTGAGTCATGGCTCTATACTGAAACAAGCTTATATTTATATGAGTATCTTCTTTTGGGGTTAATTTTTCACAAGTGTGGGTGGCCAAGCGGTCTTGGAGGCATCAGTGTAAGAATCACAGCCCAGGATGGTTTCTTTACATGGCAACGTTATTCCAATAACATTGAGCAAATAGCATCATCCGACTACAAAATTGATCCCACATTTAAAAGGACCCTCAGCCTCCCATTGGCTAGCCACTACCAACAATTCAGGTAAACAGTTATTTCTACCCCTTTTACAATGAGGCATAATCCATTTCTTAGAATACATATTCACATATAATACACATGTATCAATAAAAACATAAACATCCAATTATACAAATCCCTGCCATTTTTCTCAGAATATAAAAATATACATTTTTGTAAACCAAGCATCCCCACCCAGAACCAATATAAGCCAGGTGAGGTCTGTCGGAGCGCTTTTGGCAGACACCACTCGAAAGATGCCGCCCACCGACATCTGTAAGTTTTACACTTGTAACTCCAATAATTCCACATTTATCCATTTTTGGTACTCAAGACTTGCTAATTACCTACTGCCTGTGCTGTATGATCGAATCCAGCGTGGTGCTCCTGACCTCACACAACCTATCATGAAGCCCTCGACCCACAACGTTCACAAGCATGTTTCACTTTTTTAAACTTGTTTTATCTTTTATAAATGTCCATACAAACATTTATGTTTGCATCACTTTATTGAAAGTCATTTACTGTATGTTTACTGTACTTTAAAGCCACAAGTATTACAAGAAGGGGCAATTAAGCATTTGTTCTTCAAATTCAAAAGCACTACTAAACTTAATAGCTATCTTTTGCCCCTAATCTTTCTCTTAAGTAATTAGTATGTGAGGACAACTGTGTGAATTTCAAGACACAGGATACCTGTCTCAATGGGTGCACTGTTTGAATGTGAGTCCCAATCAAAAGGTGTAACACTACACTCTTGGGGGTCAAGGAAACTTCTAGAATGTTTGATGGGACACTCGCTCCTGTTTGGCCCAGGACAGATCGGGAGGACTATACGAGCGTCACCTGAGCCCATGAGTCCCTCCCAGAGTCTGGGAAGAGTCCTGAACACTACTACCTCCACATCCACACACAAAGACACTCTTCATCAGGTCTCATTTTCCAAATACACCCTCTGCATCCCAGTCAACCACTCCACAAGAGCACCTTTGAAATTCATGAGATTGCAGGTTGGACTCTATTGTAAGGTAAATCAAGGTACCACATGTTTTATGAGAGTCTTAAAGTACATGCTTGTTCAAAATGAAGAGGGACAGCAACTCAAATAATCCAACAGTAAATGCTAAGAAAGAAGATGAATGCAACTGCCTCTTGTTGCTTCAATACAATTCCCAAGCTTTTCTGGGGTCAGAACAATATATCTCTCTCTCACTCATACTGCAATTTATAAAGGAAAATATTTGTAACAGTAAAAAACATTCCATTGTCCCCACAGGGAAATTTGTCCCTTTCTTCAGTGCAAAGGGGAAGTGTGTGACCACAGAGCAATGCCTGGGGATCCTTCTCCACTCTCTGGAGTTCTATAGAGGATTTAACTTACACGCTGTAGCCACTTATAATAATATCATTTATATTTACAAACAACACACCAAAATAATGAGTTGCCTCAACAAGCCTCATTTGAATGGAGCCAAACACTGTGGGTGATGTCACGCTCACTTAGTCCACTTCTATATACTGTCTCAGCATAAAAATTACCTGCAAGTGCATGTAATGCCAGATATTTGGTTGAACCACCTGGCCAGGTTGCAAAGGATTTGAGGAGGATTGTGAACATGACTGGATTTTGCTGGCCTTGTGAGTGTCTCTGCATCACATCTAATTTATTATTCACATTTAGTATTATAGCTATGGTTTAAAATGCATTCTACTTGCAGTGTACATTTACTTTTAAAATGGTTGCTGTTATTTCTATCTTTTTTCTACAGAATACAATAGTTAATTGTCAAAGGCTTAGTGAAGACTAGGACACAGCTATGGTCTGACCCTCAAAGTCATGACCCAACTACCGACAGTACAAGAGTTTCACATACAATATGGAGGGGCATATGCTGTCTATTTTCATTCCCCCATACATTTGGAGCCAAAGTGAGTTGTTTTTGCTTGAACAAGGGTGAGGCATTTCTATGAGCCAAACTTCACAATCTCGAGTGCAATCCCTGCAGCTCAAGTAAAACATCATGATGCCCTCCCGCTGTTTCACATGACTTTTGTTTTTGTTTTTTTTCTCAGTAGTTATTGTAAAAAGAGACATAAAAGATGGTTAAAAGAAACACAGAACAAACAGTTCTTAACAACAAGTCCTTTCTTACCTTGGTGCATATTTGTCATAACAGTTTCATTAAATCAGACTAATCGCAGATTTAGCTTGTTTTAGTCCATTAGAGATGCAACTTGAGGCCAAATATTTCAAATATTCATTTTTCCCACATATTCTCAACATGAGAGGCAGAACCAGTACAATACAAAATTTGCACCAGAGAGGACATTGTCTAAATAAATGTCTACTGTGATTTGTCATAATGTAAGCATGGGTTTGCTTGTATAAAAGAGACAGCTCAAATAAAGACATTGGATGCCAAACCCCTCTCACTCGACACACATGAGCAGCCATACAAGTGTGTGGTCTTTGTGGTCCGGAGAATGGGCAATAAAAACAGTGTATCATTGTGCCAGAGCAGTTTCTTCATCCTTCTGTCTCCAAAATCAAACAAATTACTCAACATATGGACTGGAGTCATGCCTTAACTTTCTGTTAGCATCAGTTTTGTCAGTTCAACCAGAGTGGGGGCTGAATAACTGGAGTTGTGCCCAAAAACAGCAGCTCTGCGTCTCACACAGGATGTTTGGGATAAAGGAAGAAAAATATAGTTTGAATCAAAGTTCTGTAAAGAATTAGTGGTGTTATGAAAAATGCTGTCCTGTGAGAATGAGACATGCATTGAAAGTAGGCCAGATGCAATGTTGCACCATGGTTATAACTCACAGCTTCTTGGTTTCATGACCGACAAACTATTGCATGTTTCTGACCCTTAGAAATGCCCCATGGGACTTACAACACAATGTAATAAGAATTCCATGTCCAAGAAATCACCATGTTCTTCTATTGTGCTATAAAGACACATAAGTCTGCTCATACATACATTGTATGCTCATACATACAATGCTTTAAGGTACGTGTGTGACTATGTCGCATGGTTAAATAAAAACTTATAAGTCTGTCAGCTGCTTTTCATTACGTTCATTCAGTATGGCATTAAATGAATCTACCTCCATGGAGTGAAGAAGGTGATGCCACCAGGTCAAGTTACAAGTCAGATTTGTGGAGAGGTGACCCCACTCAGAGTAGGAATGCATGTTTTGTTTAGTAATAAAAGTTGAAATTGAGCAAATGCAAGATGCATATGTTTAATGTCATGCTCTCAATTATACCAAGCTTGTGGCAATAGAGACAAGCTGTGATCATCACCCATTAAAGTTGCACAGTGCAAATTTTAGATCAGACAATAAATATTATCACTTTATTTGACAAACAAATTACCTGAAAAAACAAGTGCAATGCTTTTAAAGTAGATGTTGATACTACTGCTGTGGTCCCTTGTGTGAAAAGTCTGAATTATTCCCTGTGTAATATTCATGAGGAGGTTGTGTTTCACTGGCACTCTAAATACATGACCCTTTTTACTGAAGAGCTGACCTGAGATCAGAAAGCCCTGCTTAATGTACACAGGGTCAGTGCAGATTAATGATAAAGAGATCATGGCTAGTATCATGAAACAATTGCTGTTCTTATGTCATCGTGGACATCTATGACTGTGGTAATTACATAGCTTGATTTAGTATAAGTGACTAGATCAACCAAGCACAGAAAGAGTTTAAGGCACCGAAGCTTAAAAACACAGTTCAGGATGGAAGGGAAAAAGCTCTTTTTAATCCTGATAATACGCACCAGCCCATTAAACTCAATACTGACCTTTTATTCTGAACAGGAATCGGTAAATTATAAAGGGCTAAAAATAATGTAATCCTCTTCTTTGTGGGCAATCGCAATAAGCTACAGTACTGTAACTGTGTGACTCATAATTCATTTTGTTGCAAAGTGGAGGTAAGTAACTGATAAGAGTCATATGGCCCCTATTATCTCTGTACAATGAACGGGATCATCACTTACATAAATGAGGACAATATTCTCTACTAATACTGTTGTTTTGGTTTGATGAACAAAGTTGAAAGATAAGTGTAGTATGCACTTCAAACTCTGTGGTCCCAGACCAAAAATTGAGCCAACCTTCTACTAATGAAATCATTGCTGTCAAAGGTAGTATCCTCAACATTTACCTCACTCTAGTTCACAAACCCACTTCATTTTGTTCTCAGCATCTGCGTTTGGGCTCAAGCCACCTGTGGATCAAAGCAATTGACCAATCACAGGGGAGCACTAGGACAGCCCAGTTAGCATGAAGTATTCATTTGGACCTTACGCCTTTTCCTGATTGTTTTCAATGGGAGCTGTCATGAATTGATTTTGTGTAGACTTAAAAGTGCCACACACAGCAATATGGCTTCTGCCAGGTAAATTCAACATAGGAAATTGCGGATTTTTTCTTTGAGAAAGCAAAGCTGTTACAACATTTTAATTATTCTCAGAAACACTA